AGGGGGGGTTACGAAATGCACAGCACCTCCAATTTAAAGGTAAGCCTGCCTGCTCATTAAAAACTGTCTGGTGGATCCGAAAGTGGGCTCACATTAGATTGGGGCTAAATCCAGATAGCATATCCGGATAACCGGAAATTCTTAACGAAACATTATCCGAATTCAGACTTATAACTCTCTCTCTCTTTTGACCCGTTTGCGAAGAGAGTCCACACATTAATTATTGTTGAAGTGATGCTAACCCGTTTTTCGAAGCGGTTCATAACAAAGTATTTGCCGAATAGGCGCACAAACATATTATTATCCGGATTTTTACTAAAGCTGCTGCTCATTGTCCAGCCCTAGCTCACATCAAAGCGGTGTCGGTTTCTCTCCATGTCACGATTATTGCTCGGCGCCTCCCTTACCTGCTGCATACCTTGGCGACTGCTGACTGCATGAGTGTACGAGAGAGGAGTCTGGGACCTCCTGTAACATCCTCTTTAATTACGGAACAGGTTTTTAGAGAAATTACTTTGAGCTATAAAAGCCACTTTAATAGCGTCGGCGTTTCGAAGTATATTACATCGTCGTGTACTCTTCTTTTAATTCTGCTCCTTTGCAGTGGTTATGTAAACGAGACGGTTATTTATGGCTTTACCTTTTTGTTGAGTGTGCATGAGTGAGGTATAATCAGAGACCGTATTATTTTACGGTCTTTGGTATAATGGGAACGTCTTCTTTTCGTCTTAATAGCTGCAGTGTTCACTTTCGATCAGAATAACGAAGACCGGCGTCTGTGTTGTATGTAGCGGTTAGGCAATTCGCCATTGCACGCTGAAGACACGAGTTCGATTCCCGTCTTGAGTATCTCGGTCATTGTATGTACTGGGACATTGTATCACTCTCAGCTCGGGTTGGCTCTGATAGACAGGGTCGAAGCTCCCTTCCTAAACGAACCGAATTGAGTCCGTGGGGGACGTAAACGCCTCTTAAAATGGAAAGGGTGCCACCCCCTTTCCTCGATAAAACATCAAAGAACCCAGCTCACACACACAGACAGACACAACTGTCAGAACGTAGCAAGCCATCATTCACTCCGAGGGATAAAAAGAAAAGAAAGAAATAAAATAACTGGCTATGATAGATGTTCTGTCAAGCAGAAGTAAATTAGAGAGAAATATAATTAGAGAGTAAAGATACCAGATATACGTTCCTGAGAAGTCGTGCGTTCATGTTTGAAAGTGATAGGTACACAATAATAAAACAGAAGCTATACTACGAACAAAGTAGAAGACAAATGAAAGAAATTAGAACGGGCAAAAGAAAAGATAACCAAGGAAAGGTATAATTGAGAGCTTAGACTACTTCATTGTGGACACAAGTGTATACAGTGACCTTTCTCCCCGTGCGGGTCATTAGATAAGTAGGTCATCTTTCTTGTCTTGACCTAGACAAAGCCGATGGCCGCCACATTTACGTCTGATTAATTGCGAGGGAGAATTGGAGGAGAAGTGATTGACGGTTTTTTATGCTTACTTGTTTTGTTTCCGAAGGGTTTTTGTTTCTTTTATATTTTGGGTTGTTGTTTTTTTATTTCAGGGGTAAGGAGGGAGGGGTGGGGGTTTGCTGTTGTTAGTGTATAGTTTTTACCATTAGGGTGGGCGTGGGGATGGGGGAGATTAATAGCTTCATTGCGAGGGAGAGAGAGAGAGAGAGAGAGAGAGAGAGAGAGAGAGAGGGAGAGAGAGAGAAGGGGGAGG